AACCTCTCCTTTGCCATGATGCTAAAGTCCTTGAAAATAAGGTCCAACTGCTGATGTGCTGCGACCAACGCCTACCACATGAACCAATGCTTTATCATCATCCTTTTGTATGTCCTGTCTGCCTGTATCTATCTCTTGTCTTATATGCTTCAGATGGTAAAGGACTTTGGGCAAGGACTAATAATTGTCTTTGTTGTTGCTTCTGTTCAGCACCTAGTACTATGGGATCTGGGTTTATGACTAGGGCCCTTAACTGCTACAGTAACACAAGCAAGGAGCACAAGACAATAAAGTTACAAGACTTTACAGATCTGCATCCAGCTCATACTCTCACTTGCTCCTTTCCTTCCTGCACACCTCTGTTTGCCACCGAGCATGTGAAATGTAGGTTAAGACGACAAACAACAAACACTGCCCACTTCCCATCAGACCAGAGGCTGGTTTGTTTCTGAAACACAATGGTTATGTGTGCGTGTGTGTGTTTAGCTTGCTGTATAACCAAGCTATTCCATTCTGAATATCTACAGAGAGAGGTTTAAAGTAAACAGGACACTGCCTGGTTTTTTTCCATTCATTGTATGACATCAGCAGCCACCTTCCTAGCCTGTCCCTTAAAAGTGAATGACCCACTGCTTTACAGACCTGTGGGTGGTCACCTGTTTTATCATTCATTTGCAAAGCTCAAAGAAAGTTAGACAGGAAAAAACAAGGAGGTTTTTCTGAGAGAGAAGAATACAAAAAGAAAGAAACAAATTAAATCTACAGTTGAAGATCTAGTTGATTTACTTAATTGAAAAATTCATTGTACTTGTTCTGAGTAAGTCTGGAATTCACTCAGTGAAGTAGGCAAACCAGTCAACAGTTGTTCATCAGCATTCATCCATGCTACCAGGTGGAATTCACCTGCACTTTAAAGACCCATAAATATCCCATCAGTATTAACTGACCCTCTCTTGGAAACAATGCATCTGAAATGCCTATCTAAGAATGGTGCGAGTACACAAGCCAAAAGGCCCTTTCTGACAGGGTCTGTATTAGCAAGTGTTCAGAAGTCCTCAAGCACAATTAACTCAACAGAAGATATTTTTAAGCAATTAACCTGTCATGATTGTAATTTCCATCAGCCACATTTGGACTCTTTTATTTAGTGACTAGAGCAGAAAAGAGTACATCAATTCTTGCTCAGTACCAGTATGTTTTAGACCAGATTCTCAGGGGACATGTCTACTTGTGCTTTTATGTGTAACTAAACTTAATGCACATTTGTCTAATGCGCATTAAGGTGATTTAGGCACGTGTCAACATGTGCATGCTTTATGGTGCATTAACGTGGTGTGCGGACTGACTGGGGACTAAAGTTAATCCCAAGTCAGTCAACATACACGGCATTAATGTGTCTACACATCTGTGAAGGTGCTTTAGCTATTCATGCTTAAATTTGACACCTGTAAATTCATGTATTTAGGCATGAATAACCTAAAATTGCTATTTTAAGGCACATTAAGGGCATGCACATGTAGATGTGTGCCCTTAATGTGCCTTAAAGTGGGCTAAAGTGCTTTAAATCAGCATGTGTAGCTGCACCCAGGAAACTATTCTGATTTGTATCCACGAAGATTTGGTCCGGTGCACCTAAATGTAGTTGCTAGAGCAGAACTTCAGAGAACAATTACATGAAAAAAATCAAATCAAAATATAACAGAAAGCAATAACCTAAAACACCTTCACATAACAAAAACAAAACATCTCTTAAACTTGAGTTGTTCCCAGATCAGATTTCTAAGCAGGATTCCCTTGCTCAGCTGTGAAAGGGAGGGAACAGAGTGCAGGAATCAGTTTTATTCCTCTTACTGCATTTTTTCCTGGGGCTTTTGGCACCCTGACAATATCCCAGAATGCAAGATGACAAAGAAAAGCTCTGCAATGCACAAAAATCCTGGAGTTTGGGATGTCCACAATAATATGTTCAGGGATACAGTCAGAAAAAATGGAAATGTACAATTTCATTTTATGGAGGGAAAAAAAATTACAAAGTGATTGGTTAAGCCTTATTTCCATGCTGACTGTCTCTTTGCAAGGCCTCTGACCAAACAAACTCAGCATATGCCTCTGCAGACATGACCAGGTTACAGCTTGATAATGGATACAATCTGATAGGCTTCAGTCAACCTATGCTTGGTTATGAAGCATTAATTGTTTGCAGGTTGAAGTCCTCAGTTAACACTGAAATCTGATTATTGTTACTGGTAGGGTCACAAGCACTGTGTGCACACTCAGGGTACATATACACAAGTAGATCTCAACTGGGGTGCCATGAGACCCTTTCGTTGGTGCCACCGCAATGGCCAGGTGAAACTGTCCCACACATCTCATGCACCTGCAGATTGGCAAGTGTGTCTAGCAGAAGAGGTGCTCTTGCCCGTGTTAAGTTTCTCAGATAAAACTAATCCAGGCAGGAGCACCTGATCTTGCCAGAGCCTTTCGCAGTTTGGCCATACATACTGTCCCTGGAAACAGAGGCACATGGGACAGTTTCATTTGGTGGCAGCAGCAGCAGCAGCAGCAGCAGCATGGTGGTATGCCAGCTTGCGGAAACACAGGAAAGATAGAGATAAATCTTTAGGTTGCCAGGCTGCTCTCACCACCACCAGCTGGAACTGCGCCGTGTGCCTCTGTTTCCAGGGGAGCTGGACTGGGAGGGCTGCAGCAAGAACAGGCACTCCTGTCCACATTAGATTTGTATCAGGTAGGAACACCTGCTCTTGCTGCAGCTGCTTCCCAGTCTGACTCCACATAAGGGGTGTACTGTGTAGGGCAATTTCAGCTGGTGGCAGTTGTAGCAGTAACCCAGCTGAGAAGCACCGAGGTAAGCTGAAGCAGTACAACAGTAGTCCTCAACCAGGGTGACACTAAATTCAAAAAACTGATGGAGGAATACCTTGAATCTAAAACGGTTAAGAACCACTGGTCTATGCCAGAGGTGTGTGCATACGCAGCAGTGATTCTCAACTAGGGGATCTGGACACCCTCCACAGGCACTTTGAAGGGTCCCACTAGGCGTGAGGAGATAAATGAGGTGTAAGGAGATAAGCAGATAAGATAAGCCAGGCTCAGGCTTGTCCCTTCCTGGATGATTCTCCCACCCTTACTGTCCAGTCCATGTGTAAGGAGGTTAGCACTGTAATCTATAAATTAGTTTTTGAAATTGGGTGCAGGTCAATTCACAAAAATAATGGAGGGGTGCCTCGAGTCCAGTGCGAGGTGCTTCAAGCCCACAAAAGTGGCAAACCTCTAGCGTACAGCACAAGGAGGCACACCCACTTGTGACAGACTATGGGATTTATTGTAATATTTCTGTAATATTTTCATGTTGTTACAATATTGCATAGCTCAGTTTACCCACAAAACTAGTACATGGGAAAGGAACAGGTTAAGAGACAGCGAAGCAAGAGATCTGTCTAAGTGTGGGACAGGTCAAGATGGACATTTAGCATCAACAGAGACTTGAACAACCTTGTTGACACATCAACAAAGACGAGAAGGTCACCACCCTGCAGACTGGAAATAAGCGTAATAAGATGAGCATAACAATGGAGGGGGAAGTGTAAACGAGGGGTGGCAGGGAGAGGAGAGAGACCAGCAGAGCAGTTTGGGGCTCAGAAGCTGGGCTGACTAGAAAGAGAACAGTGGAGCTATCTTTCAGGGGCGCTTTAGGCTGTGTGGAC